ACACAAATATATCTATGATGCTACAAAACTATCTTTGCGGCCAGAGGTCTAAAGCAGGTAAAACCAGTTCCACTAATCTTGGCCCTGCTATTATCAACAAATCATTTAACAGCCATAATATGCCAATTACGTGTTTCAAGAAATGCATTTCCAAGCATTCCACAAGGAATTTGACTGAGGCCCATGTCATCCTCAGAAGTTTTAGATTATCATAAATACCGGGGCTGTAACCCCCCAAGGTCAGCCCACAGAATCATAATTGAGAATGCACATAGGGAACATATGAAAGCAGATACACTACTGAATTTAATAATCCCAGCTTAAGTTTGTCTGCTTAAACAAACAAAATCCTGACATCACTTATGCAACCTTCTGAAAAAAAGAAAAAAGAAAAATCCTGTGCCTGCTTTATGGTAATCAGTGTTTCAGACGAAAAGGGACCCTGAATCTTTGCATGATTAAACTGGTAATATTTATTCAATATGCCAGCCCCCTTCTGCAGGGAAACAATATTCATTTTCTGCATTTCTACATTGAAAATTCAGATGGCATGATTACAAACTGAACATTTCATATCTTTAGGTGAGCTAAGGAAGGAGCAGAGGGGTGTATCTAGCAGGCTTAGTGAAGACATGGTGAAGCCCCGCATCAAACAGCTTCATCCCAAATTATAGCACCATTTCTGGTCCACCTTTCACTACTGCAAAGGCTTTTGTTTCAACACATTGCTTCACAATTTCCCTTCATTCAAAAATAATAAAGCTTCCCATCTATGGATTCACATTTGGTGTTCCATTAAGCCTTTCCCAGGACAAAGGCGTTTGGAAGTTAAGTGAAATCTTTTGCAATTATTTATCCTGACAATAGCACAAGAATAAAGACAGGCTTTATAGCTCCTTCCTAACCCAAAGGACCTAAAAAAAAATTACTTTATAAGAAAACTGATTTTGATGGGAAAAATATCTTGGGAGAAAAGGGCTCATTAAATCCCTCTTTTTTGCCAAGACCTAACTCAGGAACATCCAACTTTGGCAACTTTAAGATCTGTGAACTTCAACTCCCAGAATTCTCCAGTCAGCATGGCTGGCTGGAGAATTCTGGGAGTTGAAGTCCACAGGTCTTAAAAGTTGCCAAGGTTGACACACCCCTGATCAAACTAAACACCACTCCTACCCCACCCGATTGGCTGCATATTGGATAGGATGAAAAGGTATCATGTGCTCAGTCCCCTATCTCCCAGGAATTGTAAAGACAATGGAAGTATTAATTAAATTCATAATGTCTTTGGAGAAGGTATATGATATTATACAGAGACACAATCTACTGCATGTGGTAAAAAAAAAAACCAGTTCAGCTCAGTCTATTAAACACACTATTTTTAGCAGCCCAAATTACCGATGGAAATAAGTGACCCTCTGGGGATGACTTTCACTTTCATTTTCCACAGGCATCATTCTCATCAGCTATCAGAATGACATTTTACAGCTATACAGTATAAAAATTTTGTGCGATCCAAAGTTAAGAAAAACTGCATGTTTTCATTATTGAGCACCTTGTTTTGATTATCACAAGATAGTCAAAAACAAGTGTAATTAAAAAGGATAGTGTCATGGTTCTGATAGATGAGACTTTATAAAAAGGAGGAGGTGGTGTTTAGGATTGTAGCATATGGGAAGAGTCTATTTTCCCCTAATTTCTCTATTCCAAATCTTGGTGCTGATGTCAGATTTCCTTCTGAGGGAATAGCAACTACTGGATGGGAGATATTTAAAAGATTTTATGGTATGTAGGCATGGAGAAGAAATGCACTGGCATTTCTTCTAGCCCTGCCCCCCAGTTATTATTTCTAAGAAGAAAACAGACAAGCAGTGTGCATTTGCATTTTAATTGCTTTACTTGGCATAAAAAGTCATAAACAAGTGAGAAACTTTTTAGAGTTTCCAAAAAGATCTCAAAAACATATATTCCTAATAGCTGAAATTAAATAATTACAGGTAATGTTATAGAAATATCAACCAAATATGAGGATTTAGTTGTCCGAGAAAGGAATTCCCTTTGATGATAACAATTATCTTGTGATTATAAGCTCCATGCCTAGATTTAAATACTATAAATTTTGGTCAGTTCTGTATTATTATTATTTTTGCAAATACTGTATTTCTAAAATAAACAGTTCTAGGAAAATAATTTGGATGTCTACAATCTAATCCCACATTTTGCCAAAAAACTATAACAATGTGAAGTTTCCATGGTTTCCAAGCTGGCTTTGTTGCCTTGCTATATTGCTTAAAGCGTTTTGGTGAAGTAGAAAACTTGGGCATTTTTTCACATTATCTGCGTATTAAGGATATTGTCTTAATATGGAAGTTGGAATTTTATTAAGCTATAATAAGATGCATCAACAATCATACAACCCTAACAAACGGCACAACTTATAGTTAATGGAGGTTTGTCAGAGGTGTTTTCAATTGAGAAGGGGACCAGATAGGGTTGTCCATTGTCACCATTGCTGTTTGTTTTAACTTTGGAAATTTTGCTGATTAAAATTCGGGAATCACAGAAAATAAAAGGAATAGAAGTTAATAAAAAAGAATATAAATTAAGGGCTTTTGCAGATGATTTGGTTGTTATTTTATCCCAACCAACTTATTCTGTAATTGAATTGTTACAACTGATACACCAGTATGGACAAGTTTCGGGTTTTAAAATTAATAACAATAAGACCAAAATATTGCTTAAAAATACGACCAATTTGGATAAGGAGATCCTAGTTAGGTTGACAGATTTTGAGGTTGTTAATAAGGTAAAATATCTGGGGGTTATTTTATCTGCTTCTAATGCAAAACTGTATAAAAATAATTATGAAATGCTGTGGGTTAAAATACAAAAGGATTTGGGAAATTGGAAGAAGCTGCAATTGTCCCTATTGGGGAGAATTGCAGCGATTAAAATGAATGTTTTGCCAAAGTTTCTCTTTTTATTTCAAATGATACCTATTTTAAAGAATGAGGCTAATTTAAACGAATGGCAGAAAGGTATCAACAAATTTATTTGGGCAGGGAAAAAACCAAGAGTAAAACTTAAAATTATACAAGATATTCGTGAGAGAGGTGGACTCAAGGTACCGAATCTGAAATTGTATTATGATGCTGTGGTGTTAACATTAATTAATGATTGGGTTAACTTAACAAATGTAGATGTACTCCTCCTGGAGGGATGGGATTTACTTTTTGGATGGCATGCCTATTTAATTTTTAATAAGAAGGTTGATAGGGTTTTTAAGTCTCATATTTTAAGAACTTCCTTACTTTGGGTTTGGAAGAAATATTACAGAAGTGATTCAAGAATTCCATTATGGGCTATTCCATGGCATGCGATAGAAGGGATAAGGAGAGGAGTTAAGATGGATAGTATTTCTTATACACAATTACTTAGATGGGATGGTAAAAATTGGCAATTAAAATCCATGGAAGATCTAATACAAGAAAATATTATTTATTCATGGTTTCAGTATAGACAATTATTGGAAAGGTGGAAGATAGATTGTAAGGTGGGTTTGCTTAGAGAGGATGAGAATTTGTTAAAACAAATAAAAGATCAAAGACGAACCCATATTAAAAGAATTTATGGGGTGTTAGTGGAACTGGATTCAGAAGCAGAACTAGTTAAAGATTGTATGGTTAAATGGGCACAAAACTTTAATGAATCGGTTCCATTAGATACTTGGGAGATTATTTGGGTGAGGAATGTCAAATTTACACAAGCCCAAAACTTACGGGAAAACTTTTATAAAATGTTTTACAGATGGCACCTTGATCCACAAAAAATGTCTCGTATGTATTCAAACTTGCAGCCTAAATGTTGGAGATGTGACTGCTTGGATGCTACTTATTATCATATTTGGTGGTTATGCAAAAATATAAAAGCTTTTTGGATTAAGATATGGTGGAATATTCAAAGAATTTTTAAAAGAAGGATAAAATTTACTCCACAATTGTTTTTGTTGGGTATTGTTTCCGATTGTGACAGTAAAGAAACTATATTAATGTTAAATTTAATTACAGCAGCTAGGTTGTTAGTAGGGCAATGCTGGAAGAAGGAATCCTTGCCTACTTTGCAAGAATGGTTTCTTAAAGTTTCCTATTTAGCGGAAATGGCAAAGATTTCGGCTTTTTTGAAAGATCAGTCGCAAGAGAAGTACCTTTTGGTATGGAAAAGATGGATAAATTTTATACAATATAAGTATGATATAAAAAATATTATTTAGCTTTTGAATAATTTATATTTAAAGTTTAAGATATTTTTTAGATATATTTTTTTTCTTTTTCTAATTTCTTTTTTTTTCTTTTCTTTTTTTTCTTCTTGTTTCTTTTCTTTTTCTCTTTCTGTTTTTTAAATATTGGTGTTAAAGTATTTTATGATTTGTTTAATTATTGTAACCAAATTTGTATATGGTTTATTTGTGTTTAAAAATTTTTCTTTTAAATTTTAATTAAGCCTGTATTCAGCTCTGGGAAGGTTGAGGGAGGGTTGGGGTGGGTTGGGAGGGTTGGGGGGGGAACTTTTTTTGTAAAACTTTAAAAATTTTCAATAAAAAAAAACAAAAAAAAAACAATCATACAACCCTGACTTACTTTTAGAACACCAAAACAGTAAGTAGCAACCATTCCTGCCTGGAATAAGGAGGATATCATATTTTGACAACTACCCTCCACCCTCCACTAAATAGAGCAGGTCAAAAGGTGAAGAAATAGTTTGTCCTAGTCCAAAAAATATACAAATTGCCTGTTCTGGAGTTGGGATGTATCCATTTCTATATTGTGAACAGAATAAAGCAATTCCAAATTATAGAAGCAAAATCAACAGATATTGATGTTCAACTGTTCTGTGAATTATAATGGGAGGAAAATACACAATGGGGTAACAGTGACATAGTCCAGCTTAATCCCCCCACTTTTGTTGGAAATCCTTATGTGCAGTTTGCCCCACACTCCACTTACCCATCTTTGGCAAGATGATACCTAAAGAAATCATTGGCAGCTAACTTGATGGCTTTTTCCGGAGTCACAAGTGTTAGATTCACTGCAGCTCCTGGACAAGAAAAAGAAGAGCACACAGAGCTTAGTGGTTTAAGGGATTTTAAATCATCTTTGCATGCTGACAATCAATTGTGCTCAAAACAAAACGTGAATCCTAGGAGAAGGCATCTACACACAGGAAAAGGCATGTTATGATTGGCAGCCAGCAAACACTAACAAGTACTGTGTTGCTATTTATCCTCTCTCCTATATTGGGTTGTAACTGTGCTACATAAAGACAGTCGTACATTCATATACTGCCTGGGAAACGGCTAAACTGCAGAGGAACTTTGCTAGCATTTTCTTTTAAAAAAGCTAACAGGTACAATTCTTTCCCAACAGCTGATGGTAGGAAAGGGAAATTAATTCTTGGACAGGATAAGCCAGTTGTCCCAGTGTCATTTCTTCAGCTGTAGAAATACAAAACTGATATTTGCACAATTTATCTACTTGCATTTGCATGTTTTCAAACTGCTAGGTTGGAATGATCTGGGCTGAGGATGGGAACTCACGCTGTCACATGGAGCTTGGAGCTTGGGTCTCAAACCTGGGCTGCTGGCTTTCCAACCAAGAAGCTGGAAACAAGCACCACTGAGCATCCATCCATCCATCCACCCACCCACCCACCTAATCTTTGTGTGCAGGTTCAACCTGAACCTGTGGGTATGTCCTAATTCATGGGTGTGGACCATGGAATGAATGAATTCAATTCCTTCCTTCCTTCTTTCCTTCCTTCCTCCATTCAATATTTATACTGTGGTTCTACATAATGTGGAGGGCCGCAGAGTCCATACCCATGAATTAGGACATATCTACAGGTTCAGGTTGAAGCTCACACAGCCACTGCACCGAAGAATATATACATCTTTTCAGCACATGCAATCCAAAGTCAAGCTCTGCAATTTAGAATCCAATTGATGTTGCAATATTCACTGGCAAAAGAAACAGCGTTCTTCATTAGACAAAGCTAGAAACAGAGGGAGAGCATTACAGAAACAGCCAGTGAGCATTACAGAAGCATTCCATTCTCTTGACCCTGTTTGTTTGAGTTTATAAAATAGGTAAGCTTTGTTCTTCTTTTTCTTCTTGTGCCATATCCGTTATCAGACGTTGGCGATAATGTTGGCGATCCTGTTTTTATCAGCAGCCACACGAAAAAGTGCTGCTGAGTTTTGCCCAAACCAATCCCTTAGATTTTGAAGCCACAATGTTTTTCTTCCGCCTGGACCTCGTTTGCCTTCAATCTTTCCCTGGAGGATTAAATGGAGTATGCCGTATTTTTCTGGGTGTCGCATCACATGTCCAAAATATTCTAATATTCTAATTTTAATTGTTTTGATGATTTCCCTTTGTTACCATATGTTAAAAGGAGCTATTACTCAGTTTTTGACTCAGTTCAAAATCCATGCATGATAACGGTAGGTTCCTCCAGTCTTCTTAAGAGGGATGAGCACTGTTAGAAATTCTGTTTATATAAAGCACCATAGAGCAAACAAAAAGTACAGTCTCCATGTGCTTTACTGCTTAGCTATTTAACTGTAACAGGAAACAGGAAACTACTTAGAACAAAAAAGCATAGCGTATATACCATAGATCCAAACTTGTAAATATTGCCATCTACTGGCTGAATACTACTGTACTTGTTGCATAAAAATACATTCCAACAACAAATTCTAACAGATACAAACTGGAAAAACTAGTTCAAATCTTATTTATTATGTATTTATCTGGGTGCCTTAGGCAAGCCATTAGCAACAACTCCAACCCTCTCTTCCAAAAAATGCTTAGGACCTCCTTTAAAAAGGTGTTTTAGGGACTGCCAAAACCATGCATATTAAGGCTCACATATTTTTATTCTTCAGGAAACTCCACATAAATATTTATATTTATCAATAACATTTTCCTGTCAATGTAGGTCGACTGTCCTATGGCCTGACACATGTTTGTTCTGAGTGCAATCTGGTTCAGAAGAAATTCTCTTTATAGGAAAACACACCAGAGCACTACTTTCTGACAGCTCTGCTCCCTGGCATGTAGACAGCCTTTGAGAAGGATATGGGAAAGAGGAACTCTATTACATATAGAGAACCTAAGAACAAATCCCAGGGCTGCAGAGAGGATCCCAAGCTGTGCCTGGCTCAGAGAGGACAAAGGAAAGGGGTATTACTAATGCTAAGGTGACCCACTTTACTGAAATCACTCAGAGAAGAGAGTCCAGCATCTGCCAAGCCTTCTTTGTCTTTGGAACATTTTAATCTTTCATCTGCTCTATCCAACTATTTCACAAAGGGCCATAATAACTAAATGGGAAGCTGACATTCTGCAAAGCAACCATTGTCTCTAACGCAATTGTGATTTACAAAGACACTGCTGTTTCTGTTGACAAATTGGCTATACAACTAAGAACTACATGCAACATTCACTCTTTTATTAGCCCTTTCCTTTTTCAAACAAGCCCAGGCTAATGCTTTTAATGAAAATAGATATGATTACATAATCTTTTTTGGCATGTACAACAGCACCATGAAGCATTGCTTTGTCTTTATTACTGAGTCAACTGAAGGAAAATTCAACTGGTGGTTAGTACTCTTTAACAACAAATTATGAAGAGGTCTGCGTAATCTAAAAATCTGCATGCTTCTATACTTAATGCCATTTATAGGCTGCCCTATGTAATTTTTTGAAAGACGGGTAGCCATATAGACTTGATAAATAAATAAATAAATAATATCATGAGGTTCTTACTTTATGGGATTTTTATTGTTTCAGCAATATCAGTTTCTACCAAAAAGTAAGGCATTACTAGACTACAGAAATGTTTAATGGGATAAGGACAAAAGCAAGGTAAAAATTGCCTCTGAGGTTGCCAACTAGTGGCAAATCATTATGTTATCGTTTATTCTGATTCTTCTATTTCTACCATTAAGCTATGGACACCAGGGGTTATCCTCAAGAGAAAGCAGAGGCCACCAGACAGGAATTATTTTTAAAATCTTTGCCTGCAAACTTAGGCATCTCAAGGTTTAAGTATGATGAGCGCTGCTGCTCTCAGCAAGATTCAGCAATGCCCTTTACACATGAGGGCCAGCAAGTTGGCATTAAAACTATTCTCCTGCAGTGAGTATAGGCCAATTCTGCTTTAGAGCAAGAGTCCCCAACCTCTGGGCCGTGGCCCACTGCCAGGCCACGGCCTATTGGGAACCGGGCTTCACGAGAGGTGGGCTGGTGTGCACATGCACACAGTTCAACTTGTGCAAACGGTAGGCCAGTTCACAAACGCAGTCCGGTTCCCCTCTCCCCCCCCCAGTTGGGCTGCCAAATCACAAAGGTGGGGGTCACTGCTTTAGAGGAAGGAGTGGGGACAAAAATAACAATCTGCCTCAGGGGTGAACAAAGGCTGGTGTTTTGCTTCCCAAGCCCCTTGGGAAGTATGGCCAGGGGAGTATGCAATTTTTTAGTTTACATAGTTTGCAACATCACGGAATGTATGTGTGGGAAGAGAGCAAGATTATGCCAAATTTTGCCCCTATCTGCATTTTTCAAGGTTAAAAAACACACAAAAACAAAATGAAAGTCCTAAGCAAAGGTAGCGTACCCTTTCTAGCAAAAAGGTCTAACATTAGCTGTCTTATGCTGCAAGTCCCCGTATGGCATGCTGGGAGAGCATGAAGTAGAGATCAATACATGTGTACTGAATGGAAGAAAAGTTCACTTTGTTCCCAGCGGCAAGAAATGGTTTGCTCATTTCACTACAAATCCAGGGATGAGGAGGTTATTCTTAGTAAGACGGCTGTCTGTCTCCCATGGTCTGCTTTGCAGAGGTTCTGTGCTATGGAAACAACTTGGCAAAGAGAGCTCTTTGGCAAGTTCCCAATTCAAAAGAAAAGTAGGCGAAGCAGTTGAGCAAGCTGGTGGGAAATTTCATGCCATTATTATTCACAAGCTCATCCAAATGGATGACCTGCCAGTCTCTGAACTGCTATTCAGAAATAGCATTAGGATGATGCATAAGAGGTTGGAAAGGAATCCAGCATTTTCTAACAAGGAAGGAAGTTTTCAGTTTTTACTTTTTTTGGATTTCCCACACTTAGAAGAGAAGGCACAGTTCAGGCCTTATTGTTTGTATTCCAGTGAGCTTATAAGCATGAAACCAAACTTTTCGTTGCTGGGCAAGGTGGTTGTTAAGTGAGTTATGCATGATTTTATGACCTTTTTTGCCATAGCTGTTAAGTGAATCCCTGGAGTTGTTAAGTGAATCATGCAGTTATTAAGCAAGTCCAGCCTCCCCCATTGATTTTGCTTGTTGGAAGCCAGCTGGGAAGGTGACAAATGGTGATCACACGATCCCGAGGTTCTGAAATTGTCATAAATATATGCCTGTTGCCAAGCGCCCAAATGGTGATCACATGACCACAGGGATGCTGTGATGGTTGTAGATGTGAGGACTGGTGGTAAGTCACTTTTTTTCAGTGCTATTTTAAGTTCAAACGGCTGCTGAACAAATGGTTGTAAGTCAAGAACAACCTGTACTTTCCCCTCCCAGTTAGTTGCGTCACTGCCTGATCATAGATGCTGAACCTAAGAGAGTAACAACTGCTCTGAACTCAACTGACATTAAAAATAAGTATTCACCCTAGGCACCTGCCCTCCGGATATTTAAAAAAGTTTGACATTACCAGGTACATCTAAGACCACTCCCTGTTCTTCTTTTCTGAGAAGCTACAAAAAAGCTATTGCAGCATTGTTTTAAAGATCATCAAAACAGGACAGGGATTTATGTAATCATATTTGAAAACTAACTTTATCTATACTACCCAATGTTGCAGAGAAAGCTATGGTACTTTGGTATGCTGCATTACCTCTTCTGAGAAACAGATAAAAATGTTTACTCTTGCAAATCTTTAGTACTATAAACTAAATGAGATTTCAGTTGTAGCTACACCCTTCTCCTTACATGAATTACTTCAAGGTTTATAGCTGTTTGAACTGAAACCGTGTGCCTCTAATCTTGGACTATATTATTAAATGAAGGCATGCCAAGATAGACAGAAGGTAAATTAGCTAATGTAATGTGGATAAGATGTTTCTTCTGCTCGGTACACACAAATGTCTTTTGGTCACTACTGCTGCAAAACCTTTCTAGCTTTAACAGATGTATGGTAAGCAGTTAAGCAAGCAGAAGGATGAGAAAATGTTCATTTACCAGATTTCAGCTTCTCGTGAGGTTGTAAAAAATAACAAGATTTTAACCAGAAAAAAAGAACAAACCAAAACAAACAAGCAAAAAAAACCCCCAACCCTCCAGCATTTCTAACATTAATCATTAAGTTCAGGAATTTGATGTTTCTCAGTTATTGTTCATACTGACATGGGAATCTGGACAAATTTTTAAAAGTCAACAGATTTTTTTTCAATAACAAATATTTTTTATAAAACAACTGTAGTTGGTATATGAAATGATTTTATCAAGAAACAGTTTTTTATATTTGTTTCCTAAAGTTGTGATTAATATTAATGAAAATAGTTGGATTAACATTTTCCTTAAACAAAATCTATATTTCCAATTGCCAGCCTGATGCAAGTTATATAAAGTTTTCTCATACCTATGTGGCAACAAAAAAAATTGAATTGTAATTGTAATTGAATTGTAATTCATAGAGGAATGTTTTTACTTCACATTTGAAAAATTAAGCCACAATAGGCACTCTTTTCCTGGCTGCCACCTAGAATCCCTTCTAAATCATTGCATTTCAGTGATAAGAAACACTAATTGCTATAAACAGCTAAAGCAGTGATAGCGAACCTTTTAGAGACTGAGTGCCCAAACTGCAACCCAAAACCCACTTATGTATCGTCGGGTGCTGGGTGGGTGTGGCCCATTGGGTGGGTGTGGCCCATTGGGTGGGCGTGGCTGCAGTGGTAACGGCAGACTGGGTGGGACTAAAAAGTTCAATCAATCAATTCCAATTTTGCGAGATCTGTTTTTTCCCGCAAGAAGTTGAAATTGATTGATTGAACCTTTTTTTTTTTTTTTGCACACGAAGGCGGAGGCCCAAAGCGAAAAGGTTTTATAAAGCCCGGCTGAAGGCCTAGGACTGGGGCGATGGTGCATGTGCCCACAGAGAGGGCTCTGCATGCCACCTGTGGCATGTGTGCCATAGGTTCGCCACCACGGAGCTAAAGGCATAGCAGCGATATGGTTAAAACCTAGCAACCTCTAATCTAAATGCAAATTTTTCAGTAAGATTTCTTTCTGGAATTATTTGTGACCATGAAATGTAATACTGACCTCTGTACATCCCAAAATATCCTTCAGACCGGATTGTTTTAATAAGGCAGTCAGACCTGTTTGAAAGATGGATGGATCAAAGAGTTATTAGACATTAATACACTGAAAAAACAGAATAACAGAATAATAGAGTTGGAAAGGAGCTTGGAGGTCATCTAGTCCAAACCCCTGCTCAGGCAGGAAACCCTATACTATTTCAGACAAATGGTTGTCCAATCTCCTCTTTAAAACTTCCAGTATCGGAGCATTCACAGCTTCTGGAGGTAGGTTGTTCCACTGGTTAATTGTTCTAACTGTCAGGAAGTTTCTCCTTAGTTCTAGGTTGCTTCTCTCCTTGGTTAGTTTCCACCTGTTGCTTCTTGTCCTGCCTTCAGGCGCTTTGGAAAATAGCTTGACTCCCTCTTCTCTGTGGCAGCCTCTGAGATATTGGAACACTGCTATCATATCCCCCCTCGTCCTTCTTCTCTTCGTTAAACTAGACATACCCAATTCCACCAACCGTTCCTTATATGTTTTAGCCTCCAGTCTCCTAATCATCTTTGTTGCTCTTCTCTGCACTCTTTCTAGAGTCTCAAGATCTTTTTTACATCGTGGCAACCAAAACTGTTCAGTCTTCTCAAAATCAGGATACTGCAGATATGTGGAACAGCAACTTCCATCCACATAGCCAGTTGACTGGACTTGCAGTACAGTGCATATGAGAGCAAACAGATTGGCAAGGTTGTGCCAACAGTTTCAGTGCCAGGCTATCATGAGTAGAGAAAATCATTCCAAGGCTTCGATTTGACAGCACTGCTCAGCTAGTTGGCCCCCAATGGAAAACTCTTCATCCAACATTACAACACGAACACTGTCCTTTTCTAATGCATTTCTTGACATGGAATACAAGTTTGTAAGATACAGGGTTTGCATTACGATGTCACAGTGCACATTTTGTCACTTGCCATCTCTTGATTCCCCTCAGCAGATGCCTACATTGGAAAACTATCTGATAACATTATTTCGGTGCCAGGATTTCATTCTTGTTTTCAAACTGTTTAAAAACAGCTCCCCTTTGATAAGAGGTACAGAACCCCTTAAGAAAAATAAGAGCAAGAAATCAAGTCCATATATAATGAAGAACAAGAACATTTCATTCTCAAGAATATTTTCTTTTCATAAGAAACATCAATTCCTTTGAGAAACATCTGAAGCTAAATAAAAACAGCCATAAGCAAAGTGTTTCCCCAGCCACTTATTTGCTGAAATTTTGGGTCATCTAACCTTGATGAATGATTCTTTTCATACTTGAGTAGACTTTAAATACGTAGACTTCAAAAATACTTTGCATGCTAAATGTTCTAATTTTAGGTCAATCATATATATTATAAGCAGGATATTTCTTTCTTTAAAAAATAATTTTACAAGTTGATCATTTCTATAGTAACAGAGTATTTGTGAGAGATTTGAATTCAGCAGGGACTCTTATTGAAAGATGGGCTCTTGAATATAAGCAGGATCAAGACAATTTTGGAGGGAGGTAGAGGGAAAAGAGAAAAAACATGAAGTTTCCTTTGTCTCATAAACACAGATATTTATTTAACTAAGAACAGACCACATGACAAAGAGAGACTGAGGCAGTGTGTGAAGACCCTTCTCATCTATCGCTTATCATTTGCCTCAGTGTACAAAAGACTCTTAAGTGCGAAGAGATGGTGATCCCCAAAATCAACTTTATAATAAAGCCTGGAGACCATTTTCTCTAGCCTGAAAATACCTGTTGTGATAACATAATAATTTCTTTAACAGGCTGAAATTTATCTTCCCATCTTCAGGGGAGCTATAATCAACAGATTCAAACAAACAAAGCTCTTTTTAGGGTTCCCATTGCATTGCTTCTCTCCTGTTGTGTATTAAGCATCTTTGATAGTCAGCATAGACTGCATTAATCCTTCAGTGACCTTGCTGCATGAAACATGAAAGGGCAATACCCAGGCAATGGAGTGAGGTTTTTAATGTTTTTATTCTACAATAATCCTGCAGATAAATCAGGCTGAGGAAACGAGTAGCCCAAAATAGACCCAGTGATCTTATGCTGATGACTAAGTGGGAAATAGAACTCAGATCTTCCAAGTCCAAAGTGAAAACTTTTATCCTTCTATTTTGTCCAGATGTAAAAGGATGACAACTTCAACTGGCATGACCAACCAATATCCTTTAGGCATGTTGATTATAGTACTAATCACACTGGCATGTAAAAACTATCATAAAATCGATATTTGGAAACAGAATACAGAATACCATAAAACATTTGGTGTGTTCACCTCCTGATATTTGACTATGCTATTTTCTATGGGCTACTTTCAAGGCAGATTCATCTCTGAATATCTCCCTGAATTTTTAAGAATCTTTCAAGTATATTAGAAGTTCTGCCATTGTTGAAGGCATTGGGGAATCTGATAAGGAAATATCTATGAAACGATGACCCAAAGGATCACGGGTTGTCTAGTATAGTAATACACAACTGGCTCCAGACTATACTCAGAGAGAGCTTAACTGTTCTTCATTAGACTGGAGGGTGATGCTAAAGGTTCAGCCCTCGGCTCCATGCTTTTTAATCTTTTTATGGATGATTTGAGGATGAGGTAGAGAGATTACTTACTAAATTAAATCTGTAGGTGAAATAAAGGGGGGGTTAAAATAATTTGGTGTAATGGTCAGTGCACCAAGCCAGAAATCAAGAAATTGTGAGTTCTAGTCATGTCTTAGGCACAAAGCGAGTCCTAGAACAAGGCAAGAACAAGCCACTTCTCAAAAAAAAAACCTGGACTTGTCCAGAAAGTCATTATGAGTCAAAATTGATTTGAAAGCACAAATAAAAAAATGAATAGTCTACAGGACAGCAATAAGATTAAAGATTAATTTAATAGGATTGCAGCCCAAAAAAGTGAATGAAATTTTAGGCTTCATTAACAGAAGTACATTTTCCAAGTCACAAGAAATTGACATTGTTTGTTGTTGAATCCTGCCTTAGGTACTGTGTACAGTTCTGTACACTTCACTGTAAAGAGGATTCAGACAAATTGGCAAAGCTTCAGAGAAGAGGCTCGAGGATGACAGGGGACTACAAATTATGTCTGATGAAAGAGACTGAAGGAATTGGGAATATTTAGTTTTGAGAAGAGAAAACAGTGAATAGGATACGACAACACTCTTCAAGGACTTGAAAGGATACAAAACAGAAGAAGGTCACTAACAATTCATATACTGAATCAGGGATGTTGGAATAGAACTGGGAAAATCCAAGCTCTGTTCACATTTAACTGTGAAACCTCAGTGGATGACTCTTGAGCCAGACCATTTCCCTCAGCCCAACCTCACTTTACAGGAGCTGAAGGAGGGATAGCCCTGAGAAAGTCTCCTTGAGCTCCTAGAGAAAAGGGTTAGGGCGTAGGAATCTAATCAAATAAACAATTATGCTGAATCATCCTAGAGAGTAGAAAATTGATCAATTAAGTTATAGGAAGGGAGATTTTAATGGAGTGTTAGGAAAGATTTCCTAGTACAGTTGAATTAATTACTTTGAGAGATGGTAAGAAAACTGGTCTGGTTTAGTGGTTAAGGCAACAGGCCATAAACCATGGGGTTCTGAGTTCTAATCCAGCCTAAGGCATGGAAGCCAGCTTGGTGACTTTGGGCCAGTCATATTCTCTTAGTCCAACCCATTTCACAGGAGAAAATATGAGGAGGAAAGAATACTATATCTGTTTGTTGTCTTCAATTATTTAATAAAGGTGGGATAACAATTTAGTATATAAGCAAATAAACAAATTTCTCTCTTACTGCATGGACATTCACACGTGTTCCAATAGTGAATGACAAACACCAGATTTATTTATGTGTCACTGAAGCTTTAATATGGATTTTTGCACAAAGCAGGTGCTGTATTCAATGGCTAGAATGACTCCATAATTATTTTATTACTTATTTAAATTTATTATACCTACCTAGTGGGTTAAATCTCTCTGAGCAGTGATGCAGAAATGTCTCTCATAGGCACCCAACTCTTAAGATTATTAAAACTACTACAATAGCTCTAAAAACGTCTCTCAGATAATCAAAACACTGTGATGCAGTGTTGATGAACTAGATTAAGATCGAAGTTCCACTAAAAAAATGTGGCCTAGTGGATCTCAGTAAACAGCTCCACAGGATTTTTGTGCAGACAAATATAAGCAGTTCACACAAAGACACAACCGATTAAAAAATAAGAATGTATGAATGCTTTCTTTTCTCTTTAAATCTATGGGGTACTTACATACTGGTGTACATCTTCTGGCCATTCTGCTGGTTCTGTAAACGTGTTTTTGCCAAGTCAATAGGAAACACACAGGTGACCCCAATGAGCCCAGCTATGCCTCCATTGATCAACTTGGCAGGTAAACTGTAAGAAAAAGAGCACAGGAGTTCATTCCCAAGAGAACAGCAACCCAGCCACAAAGGCAAGAGAAATGTAGAGAAATGTCAGGTTGCAGCATCTTAAAGATTTTGATTTTTTCACAGCAAGTTTCATAGGCTGGAGACTATTGAGTCAGCGCTATATTTGATGAAGGGGGGAACCTACTCTTGGCAGGTTGTGATACTTCCGTTTATCACTTGACTCAAAACTGACTGTGTTATAAAAAAAAGTAACTCTTTCAGAACTGATCAAACCCTATCCCTGTTAATTCAAGAACATTTTTTGTTCTGTGTATGTGTAGTTATTTCCTCTAACTTTGTTTTTCAGAAATCTTTTTATAACATTTCTGAAAATCCACCCTCCAATGGTATGTAAAGCTTGGATCTCACATTGATCTCCACAACACCAGAGGGGTTAAGAATATAGATAACAGTAGGCTCCTTTATTGTACTACAGTGATTTTCTTTTGTTTAATCTTAATTTAATAAGTCAAATTTGGCTAGGTACTTACAATGCTGTGCCCCAAATTTTACAGTTCCAACCCACAATGGCTATATGTTAAGTCAAACCCGACAAATCACAGTACAGTTCAGTGTAATCTATAAACCCATGTAAAAGATGACAAAACTCCCATTTTTTCATTTTTAAACAGTAAGAATTTCCTTCAGTCAAGCTTAACTTTCTACTAATGATATGTCTACCTCACCAAGATTGTTAGATGCTTTGAACACTTAAGTCATCTCATTGAGTTCAATGAGAGTTAACTCTCAGACAAGCTTGTAACCCTCAAATCTACAGGAATCCCATGTTTATCACACTTAATTGAAAAAAAAAGGATTTATAGAATCCTTACAGGATCTCCAACTGTATAAGAACTGTATGGAACTCTGGCTCTCCTTATTTTAACAGCATTATTGACTTGACTTTCAAATAGAATGGCCAAGATTAGAAGGCCAATTATTAAAAGGGAGAAAGAAAAGATACCAGTCTCAGATAGTGTAGCATATTCTATTCAGCCTGTACAAAGAATGTTTACTAGATAGGAAAGGACAAAGGGAAACAGGAGAGCAAATTCAGTCAGTTGGTTAAAGAACTCTGAGGATTTTCAAAAGACACAGTTGGAGGTGTATCATGAGGAGTTGTAAGACAAGATAAAATATGTGGGAGTTTAGAGGTCAAATATGAACTTCATAAAATACGATATTTTCTCCAGATCAGCCACTATATCATCTAAACTATCTTGGGTCACCTTGGAAATTTAGAAGATACCCCGGCATGAATCCATTCTGTTGCTTAATTTTTATAAAGCTGATTAGAAAATATTCCTGCAAATAGTGTAGAGCTATTAATCTTTTTAGATTCTACTCTATTTGCAGCATTATCAGTTGGGTCCAGCTGCTTATATGTAGAAACACAAAATACAGACAAGAGCCTAAATTTAAAATGAAAAGAAATCAAAGATTGGTTTCATTTTGAACACTTGGTGCTTGAATCAAACACAGGAACTGTTTAAGACTTGTTTATGACCAGTCTGCAATTCTGTATTTAATCTACAAAGATTCTTTGTAGAGAATCTTTATATTCTAAATTTTTTCTAAAAATTAGCCAAACAAATAAGGTGCCAGTACACTAAACGAACCTATATATACACAACTATCAGTATTTCTGATACACATAAAAAATGCCTCTTCATCTTGGACTATCAGTATTTCTGATACACATAAAAAATGCCTCTTCATCTTGCACGTTCTAAGTTTTCCTTCATTTTAAATCTTCTTATCCAGTCTCATCTGTTAGTTACATTGTCCTTTGGAGAGCTATGCCTCTTTCCATTTGTATACAGTGAACAAATAATATGCTCATTTGCATTACAAATCATTCTGATACAGATACTATAATAATCTTTCCAACTCTGTTATTCCATAATTCTGATTTTAATATAAATTCTTATTATGTTTTTATACTTTACAGGTTTGACTCTTACTCTAGCCTTGACATTACAAAAAGAATCAAAGTATAAATGACTGTTATAAAATTATGTATTTGGACTATATAGTTTATCAGTCCCAGATAACCTTGCAAATGTCACCTATCATTATAATTTAAGATCGAATTTCCTCAAAATGATGCTTTCTACATGTATTCAAACAACTCTCCAAATTATAGTCAGTTGAGAATAAAGTTCCAATTAACCAAAATTGGGGAACTTAATTATTTTATTACCTGGCTATGTATCTGTCAAGAAATTGCGCAGCAGGTGTCCAAATGAAGTCAATGACGCCGTCACAAACTTATAGTTTTATATAAATAAATATATTTAACATCTATATTTACAGTAGATAAGATAGTCAGGCACATTACTACATCATGAGGTAAATTGTTAGGTAAATCACAGAACACACAGAGCACACAAAAGAACAAGGCAGGAAAAAAGGGAAACTCGCTTTTATACCCAGCAACCAATCATAATGTAGATTGCCTCATGTAGGAGCCCAACCAATCAATTACCACTGTTTTCTGGCCCATTATTCACTCTAGTGTTTCAGCTATTAAATTAAATATCTTAATAGTATACATATTAATTTCATATTTTATTGATATATTCCTGTACATCCAAAATACCACCATTAGTATTGATACTGATATGATATCCTATAAATATTATTTTCTTTCTTTTCCTTTTGGTTTCTGTTTCTACCATTTTGATATAAGCCAATCTTGAGGAAGTGCCCAAAGGCACACAAGGATAAGAGCACTATGATATACACCAGCGGTTCTCAACCTGTGGGTTGCGACTCCATTTGGGGTCGAACGACCATTTCATGGGGGTCGCTAAACAACGCAGTCCGTCATTTTTTCCCCTTTTCCTTAGCTGTGCTACTCCTTTTTATTCTATTGGCTTTTGAAAGCCAATAGAATAGACTCTCTTGAATAGAGTCTAATTCTATTGGCTTTCAAAAGCCAATAGGAATTGTCCAGGCTGTCTCTGCCCTGATGAGCCCGCCAAAAGTCCCATTCTGCAAACGGTGCTGCAAGTTGTCTGCAGCGAAGGCGAGCTGTCTGGAAGTTTCCACCCCTCCCTGCTGAGCAACTACTAAAAATGTAAGTAAAAGAGGGCCAGGGGTGGGAGGTGGGAGGCTGGCGGGCGCAGGGAGGGTTGCTGGCATGCGTGGGACCCGGCGAGTGCCTTACCTCCCTTGGACTGGGCCAGCTGGTGGCCCAGCCGGTGGTCAGCCTGCTCCGTCTCTGCCGCTTGCCAGCTACGCCTCGGCTGGCGCAGGGGGGGGGCACCACGCATGCGCGGCGCTCCCGGGCAGGGAAAGTCCTCGACTTACGACCAGTTGGGTAGTCCTCGACTTACGACCGGTTGGGGGTCGCGGCATTAAAAAGGTTGAGAACCACTGATATACACCATGACAGAACTGGCAATTCTCTTAATTCTTAACAATCCTGATGTCCCCCTTTTCACTTCACCCTTCTAGACAGCTTTATAAAGATCAGAAATGAATTTTAGAGAAGAGACAAATATTAAGAAAACACAAACTGGATTTTTATCCAACATTTATTCATTTACAATGATAATCTGAAACCTTACAATCTGATTTCTTAGACAGGAACCATTTATAGAGGGAGGATATGCTTTCAAACATGTAATTGTCCACAGGGGAATAGAAGTTCTGTTCTACCATGGAATGCCTGTCTTACTGTTTGAATTAGCCCCTAATTCCTCTTTATCCTCTCCCAAACGAAACACATTAAGGGTAACAAAGGCAGGATCAAAGCAACCTACCCCAAATTCTGCTTTCTCATTAGGGACTACTAAGTACAAATCACCATCTCCATCCAATTTTCCAAAGGTTAACATTAGCTGGAGATGATGGTGCTGCGATCGAATATATATAGAAGACAGATTAGGGAAAACAGAAATAAAGGCAAAAGGAAGATATATTTTGGAGTTGGGGATATAGAAAATGAACTGTGTGGTAATAACACAAAGGAAAAAGTTGGAGAGAATAGCTGAGAGAGGAACAGAAAAAAGCTCTTACCTAATCTGTTTATCAGCCATTTAATTCAGTTCTGATCTTGTAGAAACAAGATTTAATCTTCTAAAAGTCTTCTAAACCTTTGGGGTTACAATCACTTAATTCTGCCGTTGGTTGCCTAGAAAAAGATGGAAATAACACTAACATTATTACTTCTAGTCACTGTTATCTTTGTATACGGTAAGAATGTTTTGATAATTTCCCACATATTTCCAAGAGAGATCTGATGAAATTTCATGCAAAAATGGCTAGAATGAAGAAAAAATGCATTTTATTCCAGTTGGCCACAAATGGTAAAATGAAATGTATCCTTAAACATTATTTTTATATTTTAGGCACATTTCCTATGTTACATCTGACTATTAATTTTGCAATCCATATGAAAGACCCAAGCAAGCCATTTCCTTTTGTATTGCTAACCTTAACTTGTGAGAACTATTGTTTAGATATTTGAGATATTTACCAAATGGAGCTATTTCATTCAGAATAGAAATTAAGTATATTCATTTTTCAATGTATTCCCGGAAAGATCATTTCAAGCCCTTCCTGCTATGTACTGAAGCAAGTAAGCAAGCTCAGTTGAAGGAATGACAGCTAAACTATCTCCACCCACCTCCCATACGGCACTAAGGCATTTGCCAAATGTGCAGACACTGGAAAGAATCACAAGAGAAGTGAGGCTGCCTGTTGAAAATTGTTGCAAAGGATACAAGGAAAATAAAGAGAGAGAGAGAGAAGAAAGGTGGTGGTTATTTCTGCTTCAGATGAATTTCCATTAAGTAACTATGCAGCAAAAGAAATAGCAACATTCTTATGCAAATCCAGAAAAATAACTGATATTTAAGGCAGAACTGGCTGGATTTCCAGGTCTATTTCACATAAACACAAGTTCAGCACTTCTCAAAATCCAAATCATGGAAGTCATTTTATTTTTTTTTAAAAAGAGCACTATAGCTAAAAATGAATATGGTTATAGTTTATTTATATTTAACAACTGGGCTACCTTAATAGGCCAGCTATAAATTATTCTCTGCTCAAGAGTGAATACCTTAACAACACTTAAACCAGTGGTTCTCAACCTGTGGGTCGGGACCCCATTTGGGGTCGAACGACCATTTCACGGGAGTCGCCAAACAAGGCTGTCTGCCATTTTTTCCCCCTTTTCTTTGGCCACGCCCCTGGCACGCGGTGATGTATAAGTGGTTGGGGGTCACCACAACATGGGGAATTGTATTATGGGGTCGCAGCATTAGAAAGGTTGAGAACCACTGCGTTAAACCATCTTGCAGCATTCTCCAAGATTATATACCATAGTAGGCAAGAAGTGCAACAATCCTACAAGGTGCTAGAAATTCCTCAGGGACTAATAGTGAGTATTTGGGGGGGGGGATTTTAATTATTCCCTTTAAACATATTGCAATCAGATCAGGAAACCTGGGAATTATATTTTCCAAAAAGCAGTAACGAAAATGCAGTTGTGTAAGTTCTTAGTCCAAAGAGGTGCTCAAGACTTATTTTTGCAGCTATCTTTATGCTTTTTAAACAACCATAAAATTTCTCGTGATTGTAATTTGTTTTGTTTGATTAGTTCCATATATGCAATTGTTTTTAATAACAGCATCAGGAGATTCATTCACACATAAAAGTGAACAGCTATTTTAAATCCAGCATGTGGCAAAAGGAACGTAGTACATCACAAGATACCGGAACATCACAAAATGTATCAACAGCACAGCTCACATATTCATCAGAACTATCAAGTGATCTCGTGGAATGATTAATTCATTTACTTACTGTTTGTCCTGCTTCACTGCAAGGTTTGTTCATTTGCGCTGTGCTTCCCTAGTTCTCACAGCAAACCCATCAATACATGATGCAATGAGGGTGACATGGTTCCGAAAGAAAGCAGATTTTCAAAGAATTTTGAGGCTTTTTCCTCTAAAAGAATCTTTTATTATTCTGCATAACTTCGGCACTAACAAAGTTAAGCCAGAAACTGAATCCTCCCTCCCCCAAGCATCTGTAACAAAGCATAACTCACTCCTTCATTTTACAGTCATCAATCACATTCTCCAATTAATGTGAACCGTGAGGTGCCCCTCCTGTTGCAGCTGAGCTGATCTTGGCCACACTGTGCCCAGACATTGTTATGGTTAACTTGCATACTTTCCCACCCCTTAACCTACTGCTATCTGTCTTAACTCTAGAAATGCTACTCGGCTAAATAAAACAGGTTTGCTTCTTCATATATGGCAAGCAAGAACATACGATGTTAGCAGTCTTGACAGAGGGGTTTGTTCTTCACCAGTTTATTGTATAGTCTTATAGTCTGACATTGCTTGGAAGCTGAGAGACAGTGACTAGCCCAAGGTCATCAGTTGGCTTTTGTGGCTAAGGAAAGACAAGAACCTGGATTCTCTTGCTCCTTGTCCAGCTTTCTAACCACCACAGCATGCTTGTTCTCCACCAAATTATTTATATTATATTACTTACACACACAGTCCCTAACTTATGATCACAACTGAGACAGGAACATCTGTCACCAAGTGATGCAGATGTCAACTGAGTCATGTCCAATTTTATGATATTTTTGCTGTAGTCATTAAGTGAATCATATGGTCATTAAGTGAATCAAGCTTCCCTCCCCTCTGCTTGCCAGAATCCCCTGGGAAAGTCACAAATGTTGATTGTGTGAATCAGGATGCCCACTGCAAATACATGTCAGTTGACAAGCATCTGAATTTTGATCATGGGACCATCGGATACTGTTTTGTGTGTGAAGCCCAGTCGTCACTTTTTCGGTGCCATCAAAATTTTGAATGGTTGTTAAACTAATGGTCGTAAGTTGAGGACTATCTGTATACATCCATTCATATCCATTATAATTTAGACTTTAGCTACAAAATGATAATAGACACATGGCACACATATAGAACAGGGCAAAACTGAAGAATTCAGCCTTGAAAACAATGAACCAGAAGAGCAGCAAGTGATGACGAAACAAACCACCACCTGGTTTATGTATAACTTATTGCGGAAATCCCTCTTTGAATATTCAACTGTGGCAGCTATGAAGCAATCAGTGATTCACTCTTAAGATAGGTCCTACTAATTAGAGAGAGCTCTATTGCACTCTTTCATTCTCACACATACAGTAATTAGACTGGGGATGATTGTTACCAGGAGGATTAGCCAACTATAAACTTAACCGGAGGATTTACTCTTTTGGCAATAACTCTGCCCACAGAACAGAAAGGCAAAGTGACATACAAGTATTCAAAACTATTTCCCCTATTGCACAACTGTGTTCTTCACCAATAAGGAACAGGTACGTTCATTCCTTTAACAATTGGGAAATCAATGCATGTTTTTAGAGTCCATTAGAAGTTACAACTGATGTTATGAGTGTTTCAGTTCAAGGGCAGGCAGAGACAATGAATTAAAAGCCAGCATTTCCAAGGCGGAATCTGAACAATATGCATCATTGTTTACATATTTTGTTTCTCAGTTCCACAACTCAACCACCAGTTCCCATCTGACGATTCAGATCCTCTCTTTTATTCTCGGAAAAATTCACATTCAAAGAACTGCAAATCTGGAAGGCACAGCAGCAACCAGCTGTTTGCTTTGCTAAAGCAAGCCATCCTTTTTCTTTGAGCCTCTTCACAATCACACCTTTGGAATGAATCACACTGTTCTCTTTCAGAGCTGTGAAGAAATTCAAAGTTACTGCAGTACATTTTAAAAGAGAATGTTGGCCATTGTTTGTGGTGATGATAAGAAGAGGGCCTTCATAAGTTCTGCAAAAAGTCACAAGGGTTGCAACACTATTGCTATAGAGTTTCTTGTCACATTTTTGGCCTAGGGCATCTTATGAGATCAGGCAGCTGCAGCTTGTCCAATGAACTATGGTTAAGATACTTACTGTGATCCATGACATGGGTCAACGGCTGCTGTCAGGCTGTCTAGAATCACATCTTAAAATTAGGAGATAGCAAGTCACAGCCTTTATCCTCCTAAAGTAGTGCATCAGCCACAATTACTTTATCTCCCATGTGACCAGAAGCATTTTTAGAAAATAAAATGATAGACAGTTGCTGCTCAGGGTCTTTGTGAAAATGAGCCTGCCTCCCAGCCAATGTAGCAATATTAAGTTTAAAGAAAGAGAATAATCTTAATTTGCTTTCTGAAAAATGAGTGGTTCATGAATGGCAGATATTTTGCAAAGGTATGCATAATATGTTCTCAACATTACAAATTTGCCTCCTGGCCCTCGAACATTAGAAAGCGGTAACCTAATAAAGATCTATATGCAGATGTCCCAAATTTTCATCCACAGTGGCAAACTGTTTAGTTAACAGTTCTTATATTGCAAATATCTCAGGAAGAGGCCAATCAAGATTGTTCTTTGTAAAGTATCCCACATCCTATACAGCAATAATACTTAGATGGTTGCTTTCCTACTATTTTTGAGGACAATCACCTTTTCACAAGCAATCTTTCTTGAACATGCTTCTGGATATCCATCTGAAATTCTTCTCAGTAGTATTATCCTTCCTTACAAATTTGAGCCAAACACAAGTAACTACATTTTTTTTTAATTGAAAGTTTTAAGTTTTACAAAAAAAATTTCCCTCCCCCACACCCTCCCACCCCTCCCCTACCCTCCCCCGATCTTTCCAGAGCTGAATACAGGCTTAATTAAAAAAAATTTAAAAGAATCTTAAAACACATATAAACCATAAGCAAATCTAAATACATTAATTAAACAAATTATAAAATAATTAACAACAATATGTAAAAAAAAATACAAGAAAGAAAAAAAACAGAAAAAGAAAAAATAAAAAAGTTAAAAAAGATAAAAAATAATCTATGAAATATCTTAAACTTTAATTGTAAATTATTCAAAAACTAAATAATATTTTTTTATATCCAACTTATATTGTATAAAATCTATCCATCTTTTCCATACCAGGAGGTACTTCTCCTGCGACTGATCTTTCAAGAAAGCCGAAATCTTTGCCATTTCCGCCAAATAAGAAACTTTAAAAAACCATTCTTGCAAAGTAGGCAAAGATTCCTTCTTCCAACATTTATAACTACATTTGTAATAGAAAC